AAAACTATAGCAATTCGAACGAATCGAAAAAGGAACAGATCGAAGAATCTGAAGAAAAAGAAAAAGAAAAAGGAAAGAACGACAAATCTGATAAAAGGAAAGAAATACGAATTCAAAATAAGGAAATAACGACGAATGATAGGAATTAGCCGTCCGGAAACAATTAACGGCGAAGTCTGAAACGCGCCCTAATTAATGATAAAACGACGTCGTTTCATACCCTCGGTGCATAATCGATCATGCACCGCGGTGCATGATATAATTTGCCGTTGTGATTCCTTTGTATAAATACGCATTATACGATTATTACAACGTCTCATCTTCACTATGTTCACCTTATTCTACTCACTATTGTCCTAATCAAGCGTTGTAATAGCTTATTAGCGATATTCAATACAATATTAGGTCCCCGCGACCTTGCAACGACATCGTTTTCCTATCTATCTATTTATTATATACATTCTTATTGGGTTTAGTAATTCGGGTTCATCCCGGATAATTAAATCCATCATTGGTGCTCTTATTGAGAGCGGCTGTATAAGCTCGAGCCTGCTTCTATTTTAATAGCGAGGTTCAACTCTCGCGATTCCTATAACAAACGTATTACCTCGCTTCACCCTCAAGTAATCACCACCATAACCACCTTCCCGTCGACCATATCCGCGTCTGCCTCTGCCATCACGGCGACCACCATGGTACCCAACCGGTCTCGTCACATCATAATTTCGCGCTACAGATTCATGAAATTGAAATCCAACATGTTTCTCAATTCTGCTTGCCATCTCTATCAATCATTAAGAGCTGCTGTACCAGCTCAAACCTGATCCTTATTTTTCTAATCTTCAATTACAATGACTGGATCCTATTCTCGCAATTCTTCGATCGAGGAACAACCACCATACTCGTAACCATACGCCATCACTTTCCTAGCTTCATCTAATAACTCACGGCGACGCTGGCAAACAAATCGTAACGCAACTTGTTCCGATCCCCTGCCTACGAACATCGTAGAAAGAGAGGATTATATTGCAGATAAAAATGGGTTAGTATATATTAATCCTGCCCAATGCATGCAGACAACTAGCAGACAGATCAAGATATATGTTTGAAGGAAAAACAATCGGATCGGACCCGTCCTGAAGGTGTGTGGCAGCTAGTTAATGGCGCGGTGAGGGTTTGGTTTAAGGAGGGGAGGGACAGGCAGCTTGTTGCCGCCGCCTCCGAACCTCGCGTCGATCATCTGCTTCACCGTCTGCCTAAAATTCACGGCGTTGAAGGTGAGGTACGTGGTGGTTTCACGCTCCATCGCACGAGATTTGTGTTTTATGCATGATCTACTTGTTGGAACCCACGTTCTGCCGCTACTGTACGAGCCCGTTGTCTCGTTCTCTAATCCGTTGGAAACGGCAGGCATGGGCGTGACACGTGAGGGGGTTTTGAACCGGTGTCATCGATCTCAGGCCCCATAACAAGAAGCATCATCTACGCGGGGAGGTTCTCTGATCTGCTGCCACAGCTATAACACCCCCGATTTTTCAACATTTTTAAAAACTTAATATAAAAGGTATACATCTAATCATCAAGCCAAGATTCAAGCGGAAGCTATATAGAAATCGGTAAGCGTTATGCCACACCCATAAACCATGGGTGCACAGGCTAGTCAACAACAATCTATCAAAGCAACAACGATACTAAGGCACACAGGCCAACAAAGGGTAAATGTCTAGCATGGGATCTATACTATCTAAGTCCACATCTAGCGCACTCGGCATATACTCAAAACCTGTAAAAATCAAGGGATAACACCCGGTCAGCGAATAATGCTGGTAACCCATCAATACGCGTTAAATAGCATAGTATAGATAGATATAATCAAAATCATTTGGAACGGGAATACAATATATATCATTTTAAAACCAAAGAGAGAAGTCAACACCAAAGACTCATCAATCACTCTCAAAAGAAACGAGGATCATCATCCTCACAATAACCACAAGACCACAAACATGAAAGACAACACAACTCAGGATGCATCCTACTGATCACAAAGTAGATTACATCAAGACATGCTCATAAGCAAGGAAATCACATTCACACGGTGACAACTACATGTCACAAGTTTCATAGTTCCAACCTTATGGCTACCCCCGACCTTATTTCGGTTCCAATCATTACCTCCTAGTGCCACCCTGTACTTCTGAGTCCAACCTTTTGCCTCCGGGAACCGTCGTTCCCCCACCTGCACCGCTTGCTTTTCCGCCGAACTCTCAGTACACGAGGGTACCATTAAATTCATAATCACAAAACCGCCGAACTCGTGAGCAAAGCTCAAGTAACAAACCACCAATCTCAATCATAGTCACACAAGGTCATCATCATTACCAAGAGGACTAAGACTCAACAATAGTCTTAATCAAGTATCAACAAATGGTACAACGATTTACATACGATCATATCATAGGAATCAATCAAGAGATCACAATAAAGACATGAGACCATACTCAACAATCATAGGGTCACAACCCAACACCAAATGATTGTGAACACAAGTTGCCAATCTCAATACGAAGGAACAAACCACACATACTAGCATATCAACATCAAACTAGCATGCTTGTCAAACGGGTAAACCAAAATTAGTTCCAAAGAACATTCAAGACTCACATTAGCCCAACGAATCACAAAGTTGGACCCTTAGCACGATTCAAAACACCAAATCCTACATGGATTCCTAACACACCGTTCTAGACATACGAAACATCAAGAAGACTCACAAATAGCCCAATAAAACAACATTGAGAGGTCAAAGCATCAATACCGAGACGAAAGAATCACGGGGAACAAATCCCCGGCCAACAACCACAGTGTACCCCGCGGGTGGACCACCACCCGTGGTTCCGCCCGCGGGTACATGCACCCACGAGACCACGTACCCCGCGAGTGGGGCGTAGGGCCCTTCCCGCCGTTCCGCCCGCGGGTACAACCTGTACTCCAACAATTCCATTCGGGGAAAATCAACAACAAGGCCAAGTTCAAGTCCAAAACACCCAAAATCTCACACACAACAATAATATGACTTGAACCCAAGAAATATCCAAGCAATGACATTCAAGAACCCTAAGAACAAGCTTTAAACATGCATTACCACAAGATCATGCATCAAATCTCACAAATCAACATAAGAATCACAAATAGAAGCCAAGAATCATCATATAAGTAAGAAAATAGGTTTTGTAAAGCATGGGTTACCTTTGTAGCCTAACAACTTCCTCTTTTCACCCTTAAAAGCCTTTCCTAGAGCTCCTCTTCCACACCAACTTCTTACACACAACAAAACACAACAAAGATCCTAACTTTATAAAAAGACACCTAAAAGAAGATTAAAAACACCAAAAAGCTAAGGTCCTTACCATTTCCTATGCTCAAGATGAAGAAAGTAAGAATCTTGGAAGAAAATCTTGCAAGGCTTGGATTGAGAATTTCTAGCTTGGAGAAGAAGCTAAATCATTTTAGAGGGAGGCTAGAGTTTTTGAGTTTTAGGTTGAAGGGTGAATGAAATGAGAGAGTCTTACTAGGTTAGCTTGAATCACAAATCTTAGGTAGAAAGACATTCCTACCCTTACTAATGTTGGAAAGACAAGGGAACAAGGGCATCACTCAAGAAGCACAAGGTACAACCTTTTAATTTAAGTGACTAGTCAAAATCTAGTCCCTCGACTATTAAATTTCAGGATTTTTAGAAATAGATTAACAAGAAAACTTGGATTAATTCTTCAATTAATCCTCAATTAGTGTTTGGATTTACGGGGTGTCACATCCTCTCCCCTTAATAAAACTAGTAAAAACTAAGTGGAAAGCATAGGTGCGAACTTATATAGATAGCTTTTCTAATTTAGTAGTAAAGTAGTGTCAATAAATGTGTTTTTGAATTTAGAAGATTTTTTTTTTTTTAAAGGTGTTTTCCGAATCCCTTTGCTAAATTAAAAAGAAAACTATTTTAAAATGAAAAAAATAAAAAATAATGTAAAAATATACATTTTAAAAATTTGATGGTTTCTACTTTTTCGAGAAAAAAAAAAAACAGGTACTAAATGCACCCCAAGTCTTTCAAGTGATAGTATACCCGGCAAATTATATCTTGCACCAGGGCGCACAATGTATTGTGCACCCTGGTCTAAAATGATATCGTTTTGTCTTTTTTTTTTTTTTTTTTTTTTTTTTTGAAAATTATGTTTCTCGTGTCTGCTGTTAATTTCTTAAAAAATATACTCATGTTTCTGATGTACATAATTGTGTAATAGAATTTACATAATTGTATATAATAGAATGTACATAATTGTATAACAGAATACACATAATCTTTTGTGAAAGGATAATACACATAATCTAACATAATACATAATACACATAAACTCTTAAAATAATACACATAAAATCTTAACATCATACACTTAAATTCTTAACTCTGAAAAAAATCCTCTGTTTCGAATTGACATAATTGTATAATAGAATGTACATAATTGTATAACAGAATACACATAATCTTCGTCGCGTCAACTCTCCACACAACTTAACAAAACGACGTCGTTTTGGACAGGACGGGACGCACAATGCATTGTGCGCCGTGCTGCACGATATAACGATTGAGTATAGCCGTATAGGGCCGAGGAGGTTGGGCCAGAGAAGCTAGAGGCATTCCCTGGTGACTGGGTACCCAATAACTGAAATGGGAAGCTTTAAATATGCAAGGACAAAAATAGGAAGTTAAAAAAAAATGTATAATATTGAGAAAAAATCATTTGGGACATGCGTTTATTGTTAGGAACGCATCTCCCAAATGAGGTTTAGAAAAAATTTTAAACCATTTTTTTTGTTCAAAAAAATACGTCAATTGTAAGTGGCACTTGCGTCTCACATATTATACGATCTCAGGCATATATATACGAAGATGAAAATGTAACACCCCCAATTTTTACAACACAGAAAGCCAAACGAAATTACGGAAGCGAATTCAAACTTTAAACTCAATGGGGTGTTATGCCACACTTAGGTTATTCTAAACCCAAATGCACAGGCTACAAAGGTTTTCTACTCAAATTCAAATACAAAGCTTTTATCTAATACAAATGTTCTATCTAATCAACTATACCATAATCGGGGTACAAATTCTACGTCACACTCTCGACTAGCCACAAGATCCAGATCCTGAAATCACATTTTACAAAATTAGCAAATAATGCTAAGTAAACCTACTCCAACACGTAAAACTACGTACATATACTTTTATATCCAAAATAAGTTTTGCAACGGTATGACTATATATATATATATATATATATATATATATATATATATATATATATATATATATATATATATATATATATATAGATTTTGGTTCCTGTGAGGTCAGGTCTTCCCGTGCGGTCAGTGCGACATACACCATTAGGAATGCATAAATGCACCATACAGTGTTCGAAAATACACCATAATGAAATGCCAAAAAATGCACCACAAAAAAAAAAAAAAAATACACCACACATATAGTGTATTTACAAACACTGTGTGGTGCATTTATGCATACCTAATGGTGTATGCCGCACTGACCGCACGGGAAGACCTAACCTCACAGGAACCTAACCCATATATATATATATATATATATATATATATATATATATATATATATATATATATATATATATATATATATATATATATATATATATATATATATATAGAACGGGGTAGGCAAAGAATAATTTTATTATCCGGGGCGCTAGGCCCAAAATAATACTAATAAATGAAATAAAATTAAATATGTTACCAATAAGACTCGAACCCAGGTGTGATAGATGAAACAAAACTAAATATATTACCAATAGGACTCGAATCCTAGTGTGAGGGAAGGGTGCCTATTTATATTTTTGAGGGATTTACGGATGGTTGACAAATGGACGACATCTGACACCTTCATTCTGAACCACACTACCTTGCTTTCAGCACACTCCCATGCATAAGTGGAGCTTCCGTCCCATACCCCATAATAATAATATTTTATTCCAAGCTTCCTTCTTTTCTTAGTCCAATAAAATTTCATTATTCTTATTAGGCCAATACCTCACCCACAAAGATGGACACCCAGACGATTGGACCAAAACTTTTCCAATAAAATGGACCCCTAAGATCGCATATTTCCATCAGTAACAGAGTCCATAATACTTAAAAAAAAAAAAAAAATAACAAAGGTAAAAATATAAAATAATCATGCCAACTCATTTTTTCTTCCCACTCTGGTTGAAAACAAAATCACATATTCACATATCGATCCTATCTAGGATTTTGTGTTTCCTCAAATGTAAGAATGAAAAATGAATTTCATAAAACAAATGCCAAACAACATTTTTTTCCACTTTTAAGAAAATATTTTCCTTTGAAAAAACACATCCCCTAAAATAGGAAAGAAACTTCCTTAGCTGAGGTAAGTAAGCGAGCAGCTCCTAAGATGGCGGAATGGGCAATGCTACACACCCAATGCAAAAGCAAATAACCGGAAGACGTACAATTTCACATTTCATACCAAACCAACAATATAATCTATCTATCTATGCATAAATAATAACAAAACTTAAAACTGCCATTGTCTTCTCTAATGAATGTGCAGAGCTCCAAGCCTTCCCATCTATCTTCTCAGGTTCGTTTCCCCCTTCCTCATAAAGTTTCGTTCCTTTTGTTCAAAACGCTGTCTTTCTTGCAGGATTTTGAAGAATTTCATTTGTAGGTATGCTTTATTTGCTCTGCATGATATCAATGATCATGTTACCGTTCTTGATTTTGAACTTCTGCATGTGGGTTTGCTCTTCATGCGCAAATTTGGGCTTTCAGGATTCTTGTGATTATGAATGTTTGTAAGCTTGATATGAGTTTTCTAATTGGAAATTGAGGTGACTTTAATTGTGGATGCATTCAATTTGCCTGATAGTAGCAAGTATATATGTATACTTAAGGATATTAATTTCGCATAAAGTTATCAATTTCCTTTGAATCCCACAAATTTTCTCTTAAAGCAAGAACCTGGATTTGAAAGTTCTATTATTTTGTTTTGTTTTATTTTTTTTCCATTTATGAATTTATATAACTCTTCTCTGGACTTTTTTCATGTTTTTCTGTTCAATGAAGTTCATCTTTCTATTTAGCATTGCTCCTGCTTTTGGGTTGTCCTATACAGATGTACACTAGTTTTCCACCATGAACTCTGTAGCAACTCCCCTGATCAAAGACTATGGAAGACTCAATGACTCAAATATATCTATTAGCTGTCGTGTATTTGAGCCCTCTTCAAGTAGTAATGGTGAGCTCAAATGTGCAAAGCACCATAGTTTCTTTTTAATATAATCTCTTGATTAGACTAAGTTTCTTCTTCTTCTTCTTTTTCCCCTATTCCCTCTTAATGCAGCAAAGCAACGAGCCGCGGTGGTGGAATGGATAAACGATACTCTTCTTCATTTGAATTTGCCGGTGAATGCTTCTGACGAGGAACTTCGAGTATTCTTAATTGATGGTAGTGTTTTGTGTCAACTACTGAATAAATTGGAGCCCAATTTGGTGATAGAGGTAATAAAAGAAAATTTGCCGATTTATACAAGGATGTTTAGGAGATGGGTTTGTTTTAGAATGGTCCAATGATACCCTTTTCTTGCCTTCTCGTCTAGGATGGTGGCTCTAGTCATTCCTGGGAATCATGCTCAGGAAACATTGGAAGGTTCTTATCCGGTATGGATAAATTGGGATTGTCCAGGTTTCATCCATCAGATTTAGAATATGTAAGTAGCACTATGATAAAATTTTTAGCTATCTTCACGAGGTAGTTTAGTTGAATATGAACTTGTGAATTTGACAAGGCTCTATTTATGCCCAATAAGAACATTTTGTTCTGCTTCCTTTCTGCGATGGTTAATGTTATTTGCTTTCAACATTTCATCTCTAAAAGTGCTACATGTTCCAGGGGTGTATGAAAATCGTTGTTGATTGCCTTTTAACACTTAAAACACATTATATGCCAAATGTTGGAGCATACAAGAATTTGAATATGCATATATCCAATCTCTCTGGAAATGCTTCTAATATAAGATGGAAGGAAGCGGGAGAACATTTTGGATGCGGTGATGCTCCTCAAAGACAACAATCTTCTCAATCTCATTCTTCATTATCTTCTAGAGAAGAGAGGCAGAACTTAGACTCAAAGTTTAAGCGCACATTGCATACTCCAGTAATGGCCGGTACTGTTAGTTTATATACCTCCCTTTAATTTTCATATCTTCTCATTCAATGTAGTGATCCAATTGTTGTGAATTACATATTTCTAACAGCTCACAAGATGTACTTTGTATCTGTGAAGAGAATAAGTTTCTGCAACTCATGGCCAGTAAAAATTTTGTTTGGCATATATTTTATTTCAATTAATACTTCTTAAATTACTTGAATTCGAGGGTTCCACCAACACTATCATATGTTGATTATTTCCTAGTAGCTACAAAGTACTTTTTTATTATTAATTTCTTCGATTTGCTTATCACTCCTTGGCTCATTTGGCTTTTTTAGATCCATCAGCTGCATCGGGGCATCATGTTGGGCATAGATTCCAGCAAGTATTTCAGGTTAAACAAGGAAGTTATGCTGACCTGCTACCTACAAAAGTTTCAGAAGCGGTGAAATCAAACCGTTTGGATGTGAGTTTAAGACAGCCATTTTGCTGTTGATGAACCTTGTTCTTTTTGGGGTGATGAGGGAAACCCGCAACCAATACCCGAGGGTGTGCACTGGGTAAACCCCGCCTTGTGATCCTAGCCGACAAAGGACCACAAGGAGGTAAACCAGCCTAGGTTGCCCATAGCTGACCGGCTCAAACCAAGAGGGCTGGGATACGAACTCGTGACCTTGTTCTTTTTTGGCACATCTTGATAGGGGATGGAGTGAGGACTTGGGGATTCAAGCCCAATCCTAATGCTTGGAAAGGGGCTTGCTTATCATAAGGCTAAATCTTGAACCCTAGTGATGGAACTTATTTGATCAATTCATTAAAGGTCTACACATGGTTTTTTCAATCAATGACTTTTATCTCATTTACGATCTTGTTTTCAGAATGCTCCAACACACTCTCTTTTAAGTGTTGTGAATGGAATTCTAGATGAAAGCACTGAACGAAAAAATGGAGGAGTGCCAGAAGTATGGAATTTGATATGCGTGTTGATTCCGAGCACTGTGTTTTGTTATATTGTGTTCACAAGTATCATAAAATATAAACTCTTAACACTTTTAGTTGCTTCCATCATCAGCGCGTAGCCTGCCTGTTGAGAAAGGTAATTCAAGAGATAGAAATGCGGATATCTACACAAGCAGAACACTTGAGAATGGTAAACTACTCCATGCTATTTGGCTTTGACCTAATATAAATTCTATATGGAGTTGGAGTTTAACACAAACTTAGTATACTGTTCATTTTTGCTTGAAGCAAAGTGATCTGTTCAAGGCTCGTGAAGATAAATACCAGTCAAGAATTAGAGATCTTGAAGCCCTTGCAACAGGGACGAGAGAAGAGACAGAGGCAGTAAGGAACTTCTCATGTTTCATTAGAGCTAACATACTTTCAAGTCTGTCTGTGTTTCCTTCACAGCTTCCACCCTTCCTTTGCCTAATAAGAAGTTCTTTAATGCAGATATTCATGAACCCAGTTCGGCATATTAAGGTGTGATTTTGTATTTCAGATAACAAAATTAACTGTGTCAAAACAGTAGAGGGAAGAGGAAGAAATGATACTTTATTTCATTCTTGATATATGCTAAGTTCTCCATATTACAACCATATATATAGGCATAAAGAAAAGCTTTTGAAAGGGCATAATAAAAGTTGAAAACTACTCATCTTCTCAAGACAACAACTTCCTAGAGCAGAGTAAATATGACTGCCTATTTCCAACATTTCCAACACTCCTCCTCAAGCTGGAGCATATAAATCAAATGCTCCAAGCTTGTTACAAATGTATTCAATTCTAGGTCCGCGAAGAGGTTTAGTGAGAACATCAGCAAGTTGGTCATTTGATCCAACAAATGTGGTAATGATGTCTCTAGGCAACCTTTTCTCGTATAAAGTGACAATCAACCTCAATATGTTTGGTTCTTTCATGATAGACAGGATTGGAGGCAATATGCAAAGCTGCTTGATTATCACAAATCAATTTCATAGGACCAAGTTTATAGAAATTGAATTCTGTGAGAAGCTGTTTAATCCAAATTAGCTCACATGTTCCAAGTGCCATTGCTCGGTATTTTGCTTTTGCGCTTGAGCGGGCAATAACATTTTGTTTTTTTCTTTTCCAAGAAACGAGATTACCACCAAAAAGAATACAGTATCCTGAAGTTGGTCTTCTATCCCAAGGGCATCCAGCCCAATCTGCATCTGTATATCCAACAACTTCTGTATGTCCATGATCCTTATAAAGTAATCCTATACCTGGAGATCTTTTCAAATATCTTAAGATTCTAATATCTGTAGAAATTGGCTAACTACACTTACAACAAATGAGATATCTGGACGGGTGATCGTCAAGTATAGTAGCTTGCCAACTAATCTTCGGTATCTACATGGATTGAATAGAGGCTCCCCCTGTCTTGGAAGAAGCTTGACATTTGGATCCATGGGTGTGTCAACTGGCTTGCAGTCTATTATACTTGTTTCATCAAGAATATCTAAAAGACTAAAACATATTTCCGTTGGGACACATAGATACCTTTTCTAGATTGAGCAACTTCAATACCAAGAAAATATTTTAATTTCCCAAGGTCTTTTGTCTCAAAATGTTGACACAAATATTTCTTGAGTTGTTCTATTCCTTCTGTATGATCTCCTGTGATGACGATGTCGTCAACATAAACCACAAGATATATGCTTTTTCCAGAAAGTGTTTATAGAAGACAGAATGGTCGGCCTTGCTTTGGATCATGCCAAACTGTTTGACCACATCACTAAATCTCCCAAACCAAGCACGTGGAGATTGCTTCAACCCATAGAGAGACCGTTTGAGACGACAAACAAGATTTGCTCCCGTCTTAGCCACAAAGCCAGGGGGTTGCTCCATATACACTTCCTCCTTCAAATCACCATGCAAGAAAGCATTTTTGATATCCAATTGATATAATGGCCAATGACGATTGGCTGCCATTGAGAGGAAGAGGCGGATAGAAGTGATTTTGGCGACAGGTGAAAGTGTCTATGTAGTCAATGCCAAATACCTGTGTGTATCCTTTAGCAGCGAGTCGAGCTTTAAGTCTATTAACTTGTCCATCTGGACCAACCTTCACATTATACACCCATTTACAACCAACCACAGTTTTACCTGGAGGTAAAGGAACTAACTCCCAAGTTCCAGAAGAATCAAGTGCCTCCATTTCATCAATCATTGCTTGCTTCCATCCTGGATGAGTTAATGCCTCCTTGACAATCTTTGGAACAGAAACAATAGACAAACTAGTAATAAAAGCACAATACGATGGAGAGAGTCGTTTTTGTGTGAGGAAATTGTAGATAGGATAAGGATTCCTAGTGGATCTTTTACCTATCCGACTGGCAATGGGAGAGTCTGTTTCTGTTATGGTTTGGGCCGCGTTAATGGGAAGCAAACATGTAGAACATGAATCAATCTGATTTCCATCCTCTTGGGAGTTTTGACGATTGCGTCGTTGATTGGTGTACATAAATGGTGAAACATGTCATTCCTCTTGAATGGTTAGATTTGGTATAGTTCTTTCAGGAACAGTGTGAGATATAAGCTCTAAAAAAGTAGGCACAGGGAGAATTTCTGTTACCTCAGTTGGTTCTCCTAGGAAGTCAGACTCAATGGAGGTGGAAGAGAAAAAAGGTGCTGTTTCAAAGAATGTAACATCAAAGGAAGTATAGAAACGGTATGTTTTAGGGCAATAACACCTAAAACCTTTTTGGAGGCGAGAATATCCAATGAAAACACACTTTATAGCCTTAGCATCAAGTTTATCACGTCCTGGGGAAGAGTCATGAACGAAACAAGTACACCTAAAGATCCGTAATGGGAGCTTATGGAGAGGTTCCAATGGGCGCAAGATGTGAAGAAGAATTTTTCCTTGCAAAACAAAAGAAGGCATTCGATTTATAAGATAGCAAGAGTGAAGTATAGCATGCCTCAAAAATTCTTAGGAACTTTGTTATGAATAAGCAAAGTACGGGCTGTTTCAACAAGATGACAAATTTTTCGTTCAGCAACTCCATTTTGCTGAGGAGTTCTAGCACATGAAGATTCATGAAGTATTTCATGTGATGAAAAGAGGAATTAAAAAAGTCAGAAAAATACTCTCTTGCATTATCATTGCGTAAGATTTTGAGAGATACCCCAAATTGATTCACAATTTCATTGTAGAATTTCTTAAACACATCAAATAATTCAAAACGGTTCTTCATTAAAAAGACCCAAGTGCACCGAGAGAAATCATCAATGAAGAGAACAAAATATGAGAAACCCAAAGTGGATGAAACCCGACATGGTCCCCAAACATCGGAATGAACTAGAGAGAATGGGGTATTAGCCCTCCTATTCACTCTACTAGGATATGATGCTCTTGAGTGTTTTCCAAGTTGACATGACTCACACTCTATGGCTTTTAGACTTGACAAACTTGGAACAAGTTGTTTTAATTTATTGAGATCAGGATGTCCTAAGCGACAATGGTTAAAAGAGAGGTCAAACAGTAGTAGTGCAAGCTATTTTGGTATTGGTAGGACATAAAAGGGGGTAGAGACCTCGTGATTCATTTCCTACTCCAATTGTCTCCTTTGTTTGACGGTTCTGGATAATTACAGAATCGGAGGAAAAGGTAACTAAACAGTTAAGAGAGTGAGTAAGTTGATTAATTGAGATCAAATTGAAGGGACACCAGGGAATGTAAAGGACATTAGATAAAAATAAAGAATGAACGGTGACTTTTCCAATTCCTATAGCCTTTCCTTTTGACCCATCACCAAATGTAACAGTAGGAAGAGACTGAGAAATTAATATGGGAGAAAAAAGAAGGGTTACCAGAGATGTGATCAGTGGCTCCAGAATCTAAGACCCAAACTGATTCAGATCTTAATGCAAGGGCAGTATGAGAGACAGTGATACTAGCAGCCTTCAATGTATTGTTCAAAATTTTATGTTCTGCCATAATCATCAGAAAAATATGAGAATAACACTTTAGGGTCGCAGAAAGGAAACAAACTGATCTGGAAAATTTGGCCGGAAAAAGCCTCACGCGCCGGCGCGTGGAGGTGCATGGCGTCAAAGGTCAGCCTGCAAGGTGGCGCGTGAGCGCGCGTGTGGCGACGATAGGCGGCCGGAAAAGATGGGCAAGGTCGCCGGAGTTCCTGTTGGAGAGTTGTGGTACCACTTTTGTGAACAAAGCTCCCAATATTGAATAATATAGAAAAAGGAATGATGAATCTGGAGTCTATCCCTGATAGGAAAATCACGGTTCATCCGTGAGAATTTAGCCCGAGTGGCTCTGATACCATTTCATTCTTGATATATGCTAAGTTCTCCATATTACAACCATATATATATGCATAAAGAAAAGCTTTTGAAAGGGCATAATAAAAGCTGAAAACTACTCATCTTCTCAAGACTACAACTTCCTAGAGCAGAGTAAATATGGCTGCCTATTTCCAACATTTCCAACAAACTGAAATAGAGAGATTTACGTTTTAGATCTAATTTCTTGCAGAAATCAACATTCACCTTTGATTGAGGAAGTTTTTACCTACTAGGTACATCTAAGAGACTAAGATCTAACATCCATACCATACAATTAACTATTTTCTTCTCAAGGTGATTACAACCTTCCAATGTTGTTAGAGGCAGCAGCAAATTTCATTTCAAAGTTCTCGATAACATCATTAAATTCTGTTTTCCTGTTTTACATTCTTTTAAAGAATATGTATTTCATTTTTATTAAATCACATTACAGAATGAGAAGAGCAACATACAGGAGAAAATGAAAAGTGGAGAACAAGAGATTCCAGTTTTAAAACAAGAACCGGAAGCAGCTCCAGTAGCTTATGAACTACACTGCTGGCAAATGAGAACAGATGAACATGATGTGGTTCCATTGATGAAGGAAAGGGACGAGGCCAATCAAAAGATTGCAATTTTGCAGCACGAACTCGAAGCATTTCGAAAAGCTTTTGAGAAACACTGCTCACAAATTAAAATCAATGAAGATGATGTGGCTAGATTAATGAAGGAAAACGATGATGCCAGTAAAATGATTGCAATTTTGAAGCTAGAACTTGAAACAGCTCGAAATATGTATGAGCAACAGTTCTCACAAATGAAAACGGATGAACATAGCGTGGTTAAATTGGTGAAGGAAAAAGATGACGTGAATCGAGAGATTGCAGTTTTGAAGGAAGAACTTGAAGCAACTCGAAAAACTTCAGAACACTACTCGGAAATGAATTCAGATGATGATGATCTGGATAGGTTGATGAAAGAAAAGAATGATGCCATGCAAGAGATTGCAGTTCTGAAGAAAGAACTTGAAGCAGTTCAAAACTCATCTGAACAACAATGCTTGGTGATGAAAACAGAAGAGCATGATGTGACTAGGTCGATGAAAGAAAAGAATGATGCCATTCAAGAGATTGCAGTTCTGAAGAAAGAACTCGAAGCACATCAAAACTCATATGAACAACAATGCTTGCTGCTGAAAACAGAAGAGCATGATGTGACTAGGTTGATGAAAGAAAAGAATGATGCCATTCAAGAAATTGCAGCTCTGAAGAAAGAACTTGAAGCAGTTCAAAACTCATCTGAACAACAATGCTTGGTGATGAAAACAGAAGAGCATGATGTGACTAAGTTGATGAAAGAAAAGAATGACGCCATTCAAGAGATTGCAGATCTGAAGAAAGAACTTGAAGCAGTTCAAAAATCATATGAACAACAATGCTTGCAGATGAAAACAGAAAAGCATGATGTGACTAGGTCGATGAAAGAAAATAATGATGCCATTCAAGAGATTACGGTTCTGAAGAAAGAACTTGAAGCAGTTCAAAACTCATCTGAACAACAACGCTTGCTGATGAAAACAGAAGAGCATGATGTGACTAGGTTGATGAAAGAAAAGAATGATGACATTCAAGAGATTGCAGTTCTGAAGAAAGAACTTGAAGCAGTTCAAAACTCATATGAACAACAATGCTTGCTGATGAAAACAGAAGAGCGTGATGTGACTAAGTTGATGAAAGAAAAGAATGATGCCATTCAAGAGATTGCAGATCTGAAGAAAGAACTTGAAGCAGTTCAAAACTCATATGAACAACAATGCTTGGTGATGAAAACAGAAGAGCATGATGTGACTAGGTTGATGAAAGAAAAGAATGATGCCATTCAAGAGATTGCAGATCTGAAGAAAGAACTTGAAGCAGTTCAAAAATCATATGAACAACAATGCTTGCAGATGAAAACAGAAGAACATAATATGGCTAGATTGATGAAAGAAAAGGGTGATGCAGATCAAGAAATTTCCGTTTTGAAACAAGAATTCGAAGAGGCTAAAAAAACTTACGAACAGAACTGCTTGCAAATGAAAACAGAGACCAGTGAAGTTCAACGAAGTCTAGAAGAAAGGTTAAAGGAAATTACGAGCCTTGAGGAAAGATTAAAGGAAGTTTCAAACCATTTTACAGAATCAAGAAATAGGGTACAGGAACTTGAAGAATTTTCAGCAGCAAAGTCTCAGCAGTGGAGCAAGATACAACACATCTACCAAATATTTACAGAATTCCAGCTTGGAGCACTACGTGTATGCTTTGACAATTTTTTCTTCATCTTATATTAACATCTTGCCTATCATTTTCAATTTAAACCTTTTATTGTGCTCAGGAACTAAGGTTTTCATCCCAATCAATAAGGCAAGAAGTTTCTAAAACACAAAAGATCTACTCAGAGGAATTTAATCAGTTAGGTAAATACTGCTGCATGGCATGCTATTGTTAAATTCATTATAACAGGAATTTTTAATTTGTAAGTTACAAGTTATCCATTGCTCTTATGAAAATATATTTCAATGTAGGTGTGAAAATGAGGTCATTAGAAGATGCAGCTGCAAACTATCCTGTAGTTCTTGCTGAAAATAGGAAGCTGCACAATGAGGTCCAGGAGTTAAAAGGTACTACTCTATGTTTCCTTTATAAGTTAACATATATGTGACCCGGAATATTTCTTTTTTGTCCTTTTAATTGATTGTGGTGTATTTCTCTCATAGCTCTTTGATAATTTAGGAAATATTAGAGTATACTGCCGGGTAAGGCCATTTCTTCCTAAACAAAAGGATAAGCAAACAATTGTTGAATATGTTGGCGACAATGGGGAGCTAATTGTTATGAATCCTTCCAAACAAGCAAAAGAAGGCCGCCGGTCATTCAAGTTTAACAGGGTCTATGGTCCATCTGCAACACAAGGTTTTGAAACAAATTTCAATATTGTGTACTAGATTTTTAGTCACTCTTGACTTTTATCATCCCATTTATTTTTAACTGAACTCTTCCACATTATTATCATTGACAGACTTGATGTATGTTCAAAAATTTTGCAGCTCAAGTATTTGCAGATATACAGCCATTGATACAATCAGTTTTGGATGGATATAATGTATGTATATTTGCATATGGCCAGACTGGTTCAGGGAAAACGTACACAATGGTAAGAAATCCATTATATATGATTTTCGTTTTTTTACTCTGTATTTTAAGTATGATGGGGATACTCTACAGACTGGCCCTGACGGAGCAACGGAAGAGAATTGGGGAGTCAATTATCGTGCTTTAAATGATCTTTTCCGAATTTCACAGACGAGAGGAAGTGCTTTCTCATATGAAGTAATAGTTCAAATGGTGGAAATATATAATGAACAAGTTCGTGACTTACTTTCAAGTGATGGCTCTCAGAAAAGATATCCACAAATGAATTATAACCTCTTATGTGGCTAAATTAAAAGCATCAATTAATCACAACAATCTTAGTTCTCTGGCACTAGCTTTTTGTCCTGGTTTTGCACTAGAATTCCACATTTCTATCATTTCCTGGTATTTATATTATGCCTTTTTTTCGGCTTTCCTAATTTTTTTTCAAGTTAACTCTGTAGTATCTCTCAGGTTTACAGTTAAATCATTTATTTTCCTTGATTTGCACACACTTGGGATTTTGAATACCTCCCAACCCAATGGGTTAGCTGTCCCAGATGCTAGCATGTTTCCAGTTAACAAGCCCTCTGACGTGTTGGACCTAATGAATATCGGATTAAAGAGCAGAGCAAAAAGCTCAACTTCCATGAATGAAAGAAGCAGTCGTTCACACAGGTTTCACAATCGAATATTAAGATCTCATCATTCTTAAAGTTCCATGCTGCAATTGTATATTAAGCTAATTGCTAAACTTCCAAACAGCATTTTAACTATTCATGTTCGAGGGATGGATAAGAAAAGTGGTTCATCCATGAACGGCAGCCTTCATTTAGTGGATCTTGCAGGAAGTGAAAGAATAGATCGCTCAGAGGTAACAGGTGACAGATTGAAAGAGGCACAACATATAAACAAGTCTTTAGCCGCCCTTGGAGATGTCATTTCTGCTTTGTCAACAAAAAGTCCTCATGTCCCATACAGAAATAGCAAGCTTACTCAGGTTCTTCAGAGCTCCTTAGGTATATCATTTCCCAAGTATACATCCATACCCCATAAATTTGAATTTCACAGATAGTGTTGATTGGGCTCAGCTAAGTAAGCCTAGTGCTCAATGTTAACTCTTAGATCATGCATTCAAACTCTAAGAAACCTCTTTAAAGGAGATGCCTGCATATCTGTTCCTACTATAACTGTATGATACAAGAGCCCATCATGTGGTTGTTGTTATAGCTAAATGTTGGCTACAAGGTCTATGTTAAGAGTCCCACATCTATAAAATAAGAGAGAACATATGGGTTTATAAGGCCATGGGTTAGACTAGCTAATGGGTTGGATTCAATCTTTTAGTGTGGTTTGGCCCATGTGCTTATAGCCCAGTTGAGTGACCATGGCCTAATCTTAAATTATAACAGTCTACAAGTGAAGAACTGAGTTTGGCTTACTAAGAATTTTCCATTATTTTATTATTACACCTTTTAGCCATTGTTGCTAATTGGAAATTTTCAATTGGAAAAAAATTTAGCAATTTTAAGATTATTTTAAAGCTCTTGGACATGAATTTGAAAATAAACTTTTTCATCCATCTGTTATCATCATTTTATTTTTATTGTATTTTATCTTGATATAGGTGGTCAAGCAAAGACCCTCATGTTTGTGCAGCTGAATCCCGATCATATTTCATTTTCTGAATCCCTAAGCACATTAAAATTTGCTGAAAGGGCATATGGAGTAGAGCTAGGGGCTGCTAAGAGCAGCAAAGATGGCAAGGATGTTAGGGAATTGATGGAGCAGGTATTCTATAATCACTTGACAAATTTTGCAAATCTCGAACTTTTGAGCATTGACCAGTTTGGTAACACTTATAATTTTGTAGTATGTGTTGAGTGCTCGTGCCTCTTGGTATTATGCATATGTTTAATGTATGTCCTTTAATATTTCGTAAGTGTGTGAACAGGTTGATATAACTTATGTGGGTGATATACGCTAGGTTAGCCTATGGGTATATATATGTTTAGTCTTTGTGTGATCCAAGAGTGTGTTCAAGCCATGGCATAAACAAAACCTTTCCAGTTTATTCAACTTGTTATCAGAACCACTCTTGTGGCCTGATTGTTTTTTTATGGCGAAGCTCCGGTGAACCACATGGTCTGTTTTTAGGCTGCTCCCTTTCTACTTCCCACTCTAGTGTACTTTTCCAATTAAAATACTACTTCAATTCTCCTCAGAATAGAAAATCCAGCTGACCCATAATTTCCCAGCCACCAGTTACCACCGTATGCGCCACCCACACTTCGATGACCCCGCTGTCACATGTCTCTGACAGCTTTTTCTAGCAAAACATTCCAATTTCCAGGTTTGCTTACAACCCTCTGGCGACCTTCCGGTGATTTTTCCATATTTTCCTGTCAACCATGGCTGGAAGTGGTGTTGACGATAGTGAAAAGACACCCTCTATTGAATACCCATCATCTGCATTTGTGCCCAATCTGTCTCGTAATCCGTCTATTATTAGTAGTAAATTAGTAGGATCTCAGAATTATTAAGATTGGGTTTGTTTGTTGAAATATGGTTTATGGGCCAAGGAGTTGAAGATCATTTGACTAAGGAAGCTACTGAAATTCAGTATGAACAAGATGTTTGGAAAAAAGGGTAGATGCCAAGTTATGCAGTTTGTTTTGGCAGTCCATTTCACAAGAATTAATACCCATATTTCACCCATTCCAAACTTGTTTTTCAGTATGGAAAGAAGCCAAGTTCCTTTATACAAATGACATCTCTCAATTTTATTCAGTTGTAGATGAGATGCAAAATATTAGAAAATCAGAAATATCAATGGAAACTTTCTTTTGGAAAATCCGAGGGTTGATGATTGAATATCACACCCTCATGCCCATTGATGGATCAGCTGAGCAGCTAGCTCAGTGAGACAAATATTGGGTGGTCTTTACACTTTCCATGCTTGTATCAAAATACAAAGAAATCCAGAATAAAATACTCAATGAAGGAATGACACCAAATACTACAGAAGTCTTCAAACGTCTTCTTCAGATGTCTACAACTCCTAAAGAAATCACCACTTAACATTTAGCTCTTGCTTCCCAATCTCATGGTAGCCATGGAAGGCCAAGGAAGAGATATGTGTTGTATTTTCGATTTCTGTATAAATAGGGGCATGCACGGGAACAATGTTGGGATTTGTATGGAATTGATGGAAAGCCAACTTGTGGTGTCTGCAAAAAAACAAATCCTCAGATGATTCAAAGCTCTCGCATTATCTCAAAAGTTGAGTATGAGGAATTTCTTTGTCTTAATGGTGCTACGACTTCTATCCCTGAAAATTCTACTACAGCTCTTTTCTCACAGTCAAATTCTGTGTGGGCTCTTGACTTAGATTATGTTTACAAAAGATGATTGGTAGGAGGTATAATTATTCGCGTTCAATTGTGTTTAAGTGTTCGTGTTCAAGTGTCTCTATTCACGGGTGCCTGTGTGTAGCAAGCTTGGAGCACATGATGCTCCAACTTGAGGGCGGGGGGTATTGAGTTTACTGCTTGTGCCTCTTGGTATTATGCATGTGTTTAATGTGTGTTCTTTGATATTTCCTGTGTGTTCTTATTATTATTATTATTATTTTTTTGAAACATTAATGATTCTTTACAAAGTAGTATATGTTTTATACTTTCTCAATCTTTTTCAGCCAACAGAATCAATCCCTCACCACCAGGGTTCGATCCTGTGAAATGGTAACAAAGGTGTCATCACACTATATAGTAGTTGGCACAGATTATTTAAATAAGCAAAAAAGTGTTGTATAATACACAATTTGTAATCTTTAACAAACACTACTAGTATTATAGAATTAGAAGCTTCACAATTTTGTGGTCATTTGCTATTCTTATTGAAATTTACAGCCAGTTCTTGAATGAGTAAATAAGCTGGAAAGAAATTTTTTATTTCTACATTCTGATTTTATTTAATTTTGCAGGTCACATCTCTCAGGGACACAATAGCTGCAAAAGATGAAGAGATTGAGAAATTGCAGCAAGATGCCAAAGTCACCAAAGTGTGAAGGGTTAATTTCACTTTGCTCCTCATAATTAGAGGTTGGTATTATTATTGCTTTACCCCTTAAACCTTTAAATTAATATTGCATCAATAAATTATTTTATAGAAGTCTCCTTTTTAAATATAGAAATAAGTATTAAGGAAATTAATTGTTTCTTGTTCTTTCTCCTCTGCACTATCCATAAAGCCACACGGTGGAACTGGATACCCAATAAAGGAACTAAACACTAATGCCTGATTTGTACAAGGCGAGAATCGAACTCCTGACCTCACTTTAACCTGTTAGGCCTAGAGGTAATTGACATATCTTCTTCTTGCTGATTACAATCCACTGGTGACCTGGGGTGTGTTTGGTTCGAACATGGGAATCGGAATCAGATACTTGGTAATTGGAATGGGTTTTGGTTAAAGTATTTTGCATGTTTGGTAGTAGCGTGGAATTGGAATGATTACCTATATTGATGTTTGGTTATTTATGAACCTATAATCAGAATAAAGATTTTAAAAATACAAAAAAAAAAAAAAAAAACAAAAAATCAAGGGAATTGATCTTAAGAGTGGCGATGAGGTGAGTAGGCAATGCAGTGAGGAAGTCAATGAACTAAGGAAACGATGAAATGAGGAGTGATAAGGCTGAATTAGTGGAATGATACCTGATTTCAATTAGGTAATGAGTTTTGTAATTATACGGGTAATCAAATCCTATACTTGTGTTTTAAAAAGTTGTCAACCAAACAGCGTTTTCATTCTCATTCCTTGGGTCTAACCAAACACACCCTTGGTTTCCATTACCCTCATTAATTTTGTATCTATTAAACTGATACAATTTCAGGATTGGTTCATTTTCATCTTACAGACCTAAAAGCAAACCTGAAATTCCCAACTGGTAAGAAGAATTAGTATGTTTGATGATATGTACAGGGGCTGGGGGCATATCTTCAAGTTCTTCATGCAATAATGCAATCCTTTTCCCATTTTATTTTCAGGAATGAGATTCTGCCCAGCAGAACCAATCCAAAGATGAGAACTAGGAAGTAGTGTTAACATGTAGCTCTATCATTTTATTATTTTCTTCTTAAATTTCCTTGTGTAAAACTATTTGGGCTGCCAGGAAATTCTGTCATTTGATTAATTTAATTTATTCAATCTCCTCCCCTTACTGATCCAAGTGCATAATTAATTATCTTTCTTGGTTTATTTTGAGGGGTTGAATGGACACATTTTGCGGTTTAAGATGTCCTCCTGCCGTGTACAAGGATACACTGTTCAATTTTTGTATAGAGTGCTGTTATATCCCAGGGAGCTAATCAAAAATTTAAGGAAAATACGAGATGGGTTGAATACGCAAGAATTAGGAATTAGAGCATTTCGATTTTTTTTTTTTTTTTTTTGGTACAAAATGGGTAATCCCGTTATATTTATATTTTTATTATTTTGTTTGAAAAAATTCCTATTTGAAAACAGAAATGTTATTGTTTTTAACATCATTTCAACGTTTTTGTTGACGGAAAATAAAAAAATGTTCATGTCACAATAATACTGGATCAAAGGGATGTTTTGAAAAAAAAATTAAAAAAAATCTAAAAGTGAACTGCCAGTCTCACCTATAAATCTTCTCATAATTATTACTTAGTGAAAAAAGAAAAAAAAAAAAAAAAACCTAAAAGTGAACTGCCAGTCTCACCTATAAATCTTCTCATAATTATTACTTAGTTTATATTTAATTGAGGAGTTTGTTAATTTTTTGGATTATCGTAGAAAATTTGTGCACTGAATGTATTTGCTTTTCTCTCAATTTCTTCTCCTTTCAATTCTTTGCTCAATCTATAGCAATCCTTAACAAAATGTTGATTTAGAGAAATAGCGAGGGTGTGACACAAATTCTGCTTTAACGGACTAATTTGCCTAAAGGGGAGGATTACTATCACATTAAGAAGCAATTTTCTAGTGGTTTTTTTTTTAGATCACAAGGTGTTCTGAGCTTTTAAACCCGTATCATACTCAGACTAATTTTCGTTTGCACCGGACCGACCCAATTAAGGGCAAAATGCTGACCAAATTAATTTTTCTATACGAAAGGGGGTTTGAACTTCCAATTTCTCTTAAGCATGCAATTAATGAACAAAGAGGAGAGAGAACAGAGTGAATTAAAAGTTAAAACACAAGTGGGGGCATCATTCTTTGATGGTGAGCTGGATTTGGCTTGTAGAGTTGTGTTCTCCATTGATGATCATGATAGGAGACTTAAAGTGACAGCCACCTCACAAACAAAGAGATAAATCAATTGCCAGGGGAGTTTAAACCAAAGGCCATTTTGCAAAGCAGACCCATTCTCCATACTGATTGTGTACCAAACTGTGGTGCCCAACCATGCAGCATATTGCAACTTGCAAGCTTCAGACAGTAAATGTTTTTAGGGGTGGTGTTGGTTTTACGGCGTTTGGTAGCCGTTCGGCGGGTCAACACTACCGTAAAATATTTAGGGTGTTTTGTGAGTGAAAGACTCAGTGAAGCTGAGAGAATAATGTGATATTATTTTGCTAGAGCTTCGGCCGTTCGACCCTTTACATGGTGATCTCGGGGGATATTTATACAATAGTATAAGATTCCTACGAAGAAAGTAGGGCTGACGTGGAGCCAAATCAGTTAAGGAATCCGGCTTCTTTAATGTCATAAATGTCTAAGTTAATAAAGGAAGCTACTCGTATTAAATGAGGAAAGAGATCTCTGTGAAATCTGCTTGTAATCGCCTCTAGGCGAGCACCCAGCCGAGGATGCCCTGACTGCCTAGGAAATGGCTCGAGGAGGGGTTGCGATATTCGCGCGAGGACACCCTGACCGCTGAGCCTAGTCGCCCAGCTGGATTCCCGAGCAGTACTTGGTCGAGGACACGCCGCCCGCGGAGCTTGATCGCCCATCCGGATCCTGGGAGGGTATCCGGTCGGGGACACGCCGACTACCGAGGCTGGTCACCCAACCGAGTTTCATATGCGAACCCAGCCGAGGACACACCGGCTACTGAGCCTAATCGCTTTACCCGAGCCAGCCGAGCTGACCAACCTCCATCTGGGTATGCGTCTATCTTCTGCGCACATAATTATTTATTTATTTTAACTAATATTTTAAATTTGAAAATCTAAACAACAAGTCCACAATGCATATTTCAAATTTCTTAATGACTCGCAGAGAAAAAATTAGGAACAAAGAACAATTGTGAAAATTTAGATTAAGAAATTAAGGATTTAGTACATATATTTGGATAAATTTATAAATAGAGAAAATGGTCAAATAGACCCCTAAACTTTACCCCAAAGGTCAATTAGCCACCTAAACTTTACAAAAGTACAATTAAACCCTCAAACATGTCAAATTGGGTTAATAAAGCCCAAAAACCAGTAAATAACCTGTTATTACAGGTCATTTCAATTCCGACAACGAATTCTGGCGACGAATTTCGGCGACCGGCGAAAAAAATCCGGCCGTCCGGTCGTCTTTCACTGGAGAAGACGACCGGACGGGCGCCTTCTCCAATGGAGAAGAACGACCATCTTCTCCATTGGAGAAGAACGGCCAGATCTGGTCGGTCTTCTCCAATGGAGAAGACGGCCGTCTGGTTGGTCTTCTCCATTGGAGAAGAGCGGCCGTCTTCTCCGGAAGACGACCGGACGACCGAATTTTGTCGTCGGTGACCGGATTTTTTCGTCGATGGCCAGAATTCCTCGCCGGTTGCCGGAATCTGTCGCCGGAATTGAAATGACCTGTAATAACAAGTTATTTACCAATGAAGACGACCGGACGGCCGAATTTTGTCGCCGGTGACCGGATTTTTTCGTCGGTGGCCGGAATTCCTCTCCGATCGCCGAAATTGAAATGACCTGTAATAACAAGTTATTTATCAATTTTTGGGCTTCATTGGACTAATTTGACATGTTTGAGGGTTTAATTGTACTTTTATAAAGTTTAGGGGTTAATTGACATTTGAGTTAAAGTTTAGGGGCCTATTTGACCATTTTTCTCTTATAAATATAAAAACATTTGAATGCAGATAAAATATATACGGTTTTCAAATATAAATATATATTAAAAAACATTCGATTTTTTGGTACAGTTCAATTTTTAACTACCTAACTGTTCAATTCTGTTTCAATTCGACTCAGATAATCCAAATCGAAATGTCCACCCCTCCATGCTTCCATTTTGTAAATAACCTATCAAAGATATTGCGAACTATCTGAGTTGAACCTAAATTTTTTGAATGAAAAGAAAAAGGATGTTACGAACTCAAATTAAACCTTTCAATTCCATCAAACATGGAAACATAGAATCCAAACCCCACTACCACCAAAAAAAATAGAGAACAAAATTTTATCCTAAAAGTTAAAAGAAGAGTGCAACATAAGAAAACCAATCCATCCATGGATTCGACACCTGCTTCCCAATTACTTTAGTTTTCTGCCTAAAACAAATTTGGCATCTTATGCACTTCCAAATAATGCAAACACTACCAAGTGGATATTGACACACCAAAGTGAATAGAAACTCCAGCAACATATATTCTTTAAATAATAGATCATCCATCATCTCCTCTCTTCAAATTCCAATTACAAGTGAGAGGACAGTTCAGAAATATAAAGTTCACAACTCATATTGACTAAGGCAAATACCTAAACAATCCAAAGGGCAGAGATTTCTTTCCCCTTTCTGGCTACGTCTCTTTATTGTGCAGGACTCTTAACATTCCCTGAATCCATCATGCCACAGAAATATACACACAGCATGATTGATTCATTAGAGAAAAACAATGCTCATAACAAGACCCTCATTTTCAGACTTGTTGTCACACTATATACAGAGATAAACAAATTGGTTTAGTTTTCAGGTCGGTTTGCCCCTCGACCAAAAATCTCTATTTCCTGATGTGGTTTTAATCTACATTTCAGCGTCTTCAGGGGCCATTGCAAACTCAAGATTAGTTCTAGGAGACAGCTGAGATGCTGTAATTTTGGCGGCAGTTAAACCCTTCAATTCGCACCTGAGCTGGCTTTTGCCCATACCTCATTCCGCATCCTCCTCCATTCATGCGAGTAGGGGAAGGAGTCAGAGGTGGTGATGGCAATGGCAGCACTACTGTTCGAAGCGGTGATGGGATTGCAACAAAATCATCATGCCCAAAATGTAAATCTTGAATCAGGGGATTCATAGCCCTGCTTGGTGGCGACCCACTGAAAAAAGGTGGCGATGAAGCCATCTGCAAATTGGGGGTTCCAACATGACAGCTCCCCTGTTAACACACAAATAAATATTATTCATTGAACAAACTAGAGAAGTATCAAAAATTGAGTTAATACCGAATTTGGTCCCTTGACTAATAGGACTTCACACCTCGACTTCCAACCTTGCTCAATTTCATCCCCAACTATGCAATTGTTAACCAAAATGTCCTAATCCAGACTATTTTAGGTAAAAATTGCATAATTGGAGATGAAATTGAGCAAGTTTGAGTCGAGGGACCAAATGGATATTAATTCATGAAAAATTCATCATACATTCATACAAACATCAAAAAATCACTAAATCTGATGAAAATTGATCAGTCATAAACACAGACACAGACTACTAGTGACCATCAGCAGTATTTCTAGCATTTAAAGAGAAGAAATTAATTATATTCCATCCATAAACAAAAGAGTATAATTTTATTTTATTTTTTTGCACCCAAAGAGTTTAAAAAAAAAAAAATTTAACCCATTCATGTTGATCAGAAAACACATAAACATACATAAAGAGGAAAATAGGTTTTAAAAATCCCAAATTCCTCCTGATAGGCTTCCTTCAAGTAGAAACCCATAAAAAACCAGGAAGAATTTTTAATCGAACCAAGATCAACAACTAATACAAGAAAGATAGTATTTTTCTAAGAGAAACTTTCATATCTTTTCAGAATTTATTAAGAAACAGAGAACACAATCAACACCAAAAATTCAAAACAGATATTACCTTACTAAGGATGAGTTCCAAAAGCTCAATTCCAGCTTCCGAATCACAAGGCTCCGTCTGTTGACTGCCAATAAAACCCCAAAAAGTTTTAGAAAAACAAAATACACAAATTCCATAGTGGAAAGAGGTATAACCTGATTTAATTTCATAGAGACGAGTTTACAGTGGGAAAACAAAACCTGAACCGCGGCAAGCAAGAAGGCCTGGTGAGTTCATCGACGAGGCCACCAACTCTACGCGGCTTTGGGCAAGCGATGCTGTTGCTCATCGTCATCATCATCCAATTTTCTCTATCCCCCTCCATCTCGCCCTATGTCTTCACAGATCCGACGCCTGCAACAACACGAAACCTATTTCAGATATACGCAACATAACGTATGCATATACGTACCGGTATACAAAACGTATTTGGTAAACAGACATGAGAAGCAGAGAGAGTGTAGAGTGTAGACCTAGGTTTTAGGTGCCGGTATGCGAAAAACTGAGAAGAGAGAGAAAGGGGAAAGATTATAGGGATGAAGAAGAAGAAGAGTGTGAGAGTTAGGAGTGTGGTGGGGATGATATTTCATCGGATTCGGAGGAAAAGAAAGTTTGGAATTTGCAAGTTTGGCCCGGCTGGAATTTGGGTGCAACCCGGTTGGCGTGATGCGCGTGTATTCGGAATTATCGGAGAGTTTTTAAGCATCCAAATAAGGAGATTATGCACAGATTTTAAGAGAAAATTGTCAACATAAAAAGATAATAATAAGGAAAGAGAAGGTTACAATTGGTACTACAAATGTGGAGATTTTGTCGAAAAAGTGGGACCCACCCATTTTAATAATTTTCGAGAAAGGACGTGTGAAGGCCACAAATAGTGCCAAGTGACCGCGTGCAGTGTATGCGCTTGCTGGGCGCGTTAATGACCGTTTTTTTTTTAAATCAACATTTTTTTTTATTTTTTATTTTTCACTTTTCTACCATTTTCTTTTTCCTAATCACACTTACAAAAACTCTTCAAAACCCACACCAAAATCCCTACTAATGAGGATGCCTTTAGTGAGTTAACTGTCATACTCTACAAGAAGCCCGACATTGTGTTCATTATTGAGACTATGGTTGTTGCTAGTAGGTTAGAGCCCATTAAAAATAAGTTGTGTTTTGAAGGCATGTTTGCAGTTGATAGTAGAGGTCAAAGTGGTGGGCTTGTTTGCTTTTGGAAAAAAGGCCCAATGGTCACAATTAAAACTTATTCCAGTAGACACATTGATATGGTCATTGCCAGGAACAACCGGGGCGATGATTGGAGACTTACTGGCTTTTACGGTGTTCCAGACAGGAGTCAAATACACGTGGGGTAGAATCTGCTTAAAACTCTGGCCGTCTCTTCCTTGGGCAGTGATTGGCGATTTCAACGATATCCTTCAACCTTCAGAGAAAAAAGGTGGTAACCCACAACCAAGATGGCTGATAGAAGGGTTTCGAGATGTAGTCGATCAAAGTGAGTTCTCTGATTTCTCCTTCGAGGGGCACCAATACACGTGGGAAGCCAAATTGGATCCAAGCTAAACTCGACAGAGTATTGGTTTCGGATGAATGACGTGACCGCGTGAGAAGTTCGGGGGAGCTAGGCGCAATCCTTTGTATCCTCTAGAAGCGATCATATTCCGTTGTTGTTACAGGTGATTCGGGATCAAGTTCGACAGCTTCCGCAGCGCTTTAAATTTGAAAATCTTTGGTTACAAGAAGCAAGGTGCCGGGAGGTTGTAATTGAAAGTTGGAATTCGTCAATCGGGATGGATTTAATTGACCGAATTGGGTAGTGCATGATTGCGATTTGGAGATGGGGAAAAATTTTCACAAAGAATTTCAGAAGGAGAATTCAATTTTGGGAGAGACGTATGGAGTTGTTGAAGAGAAGAGCAGACATGCATGTGTGTCTTATGTTTCGTGAAGCACAAATTCAGCATCAAAGAGTTATTGAACACCAGAATAGCTACTGGAAACAGAGGGCCAAAGAATTCTGGCTGAAAGATGGGGATCAAAACACAACCTTTTTCTATAATTCAGTCCGGAAGAGGCGACTCAATAACCAAATTTTCAGGCTTAAGAACGAGCAAGGCAAGTGGGAGGAGAAGGGGACTGCTTTGAACAGCCTTATCATAAGGTATTTTCAAAATTTATTCTCTGACCAGGATGGAGAGCCCCATCTAGTAATGGGTTGTCTAGAGTCTAAGATTAACCATGCTCAGAATGAGAGGTTACTTAGAAAATTTTCTAATGAGGAGCTCAGAGTAGCTCTCTTTGATATGAAGCCTGATAAGTCACCTGGCCCCGACGGGCTTCCTCCCGATTTTTTCCAAAACTATTGGGACATTGTTGGGGAGGATGTAGTGTCGTTCTGTAAGAGAGCTAGATTAACCAAAAGATTACCTGATGGTAGTAACTCCACCCATTTTGTTTTGATACAAAAAAATTCCAAACCAACCTCCATGGGAGATTTGAGGCCTATAGCACTGTGTAATGTGCTTTATAAAATATTTGCAAAAGCCCTGGCTAAATGATATCATCTCTGAAGCTCAATGTGCTTTTGTCCCGGGTAGATTGATAACTGATAACCGGCGGAAGCAGCAACGGATTGGCGAAGCGGATCTGTCCTCCCTCTCCCCGGCGACGTCGTCGATCTTCGATCGCCGTTCACGGAAACACACGGCAGGGGCAACGAAAAACGAGAAAAAAAATTAAACAACCAACAATTATATTTGCAGATACTCGATGCTTTAATCTCATGCTTTAGAAATTGAATCAAATAGTAAAAATTAAACAAAATAATCCATGGATTCATATTTGCAGATATGTGCAGATTCATATTAAAAAAATAGGGAGTAATCATATGATATGGTATTTTTTAAAAAACTAAAAATAAAAATTCACAGATTCACGTGGATCAGATTGAAACAGATTCATATTACCGTTCACCGAAGATTTATGTAGAGAAAAAGTGCTGATAACGTGTTGTATTGCAAGTTTGTTTACAGGCCTTTAGCTCGCAAGATCAGTAAAAACAGGAAGAAGAAAATAAAGAACAGAGGAAAGAGATTTCTTATTCATTCATAAACTCTGTACATCACTACATCAATATATATAACAGCTATTACAAGATCATACCATAAATATAAAGCCAACGAACAATTTCCCTATCAATTTTCTTGCAAATTGAATAGTGTTCTTGTGACACCCCGAAATCCAAATTCGGTTAAGGGATTAATTAAGTAATTAATCCTATCTCAATTTGTAATTTAATTCCTTAAATTCCTGAAATTTAATAGTCGTGGACTAGTAATTGACTAGTCAACCCCAAAGTCAAAGTTGTACCTTAAGCTTTGTAAGGAGTTCCCTTATTCTTTACACCTTTCCATGTTAGTAAGGGTATTCTTGACCTTTCACCTTGTGTTAGTATTGTAACCTAACCTTGTGAGAACACCTCATTTCTATCCTTACACTTTCCAAAATCCTAGCTCCATCTTCTCTCTAAAAAGGTGGGTAGCTTTTCTTCCAAGCCAAGTTGAAACCTTGTCAAGACTTCAAGAGTTGCTTCCAAGATTCAACCTTTCATATATTTGGGCATCTAGGAGGGTAAGATCCATATTCATCTTGTGTTTTTAGTGTTATCTTAGGTGTCTTTTCTTAAAGATAGGATCTTTATGATCTTTTGGTGTGTTTTTGAAGTGGGTTTGGAAGGTGGGCTTTGATAGGAGCTTGGTGTGGTGTTAAGTGAAGGTTTTTGGTCTACAAGAGGTAACCCATGCTCTACAAAATCTATTTTGCTTACCTATATGAATATTTCTTGGATTCTACATGTGTTTTGCTATGAAATGTGAGTGTTGATGCATGATCTTGTGAAAATGCATATCTAGAGCTTGTGTTTAGGGTTCTTGTATGTCATTGCTTGGCTATTCCTTTGGTTCAAGTCACTTTGTTGTATTTGGTGAATTTTGACATGTTTTGGACTTGAATTTGAGTTTGGAGATGAAAATCCGCGAAGTGATTTATTGTGGTACAGGAGTGTACCCACGGGCGGAACGGCGGGTAGGGGTCCAACCCGCCGCCCACCTGCGGGGTACATGTTGTGGAAAGGCTTGTACCCGCGGGCAGGACCACGGGTAGGGGCCTACCCGTGGGTCCACCCGCGGGGTACGTTTTGTGGTTGTTTGGGGGATTTGTTCCCCGTGATTCTTTTGACTCGGTATTTGGTCTTTTGACTTCCCGTTGTTCTTTTGTGGAACTATTTGAGTGTCTTCTTGATGTTTCGTATGTCTAGAACTATGTGGTAGGTATCCATGTAGGTTTTGGTGTCGTGAATCGTGCTAAGTGTTCAACATTGTGTTTCGTTGAACCGTGATGAGTCTTGTGTGTTCTTCGGAACTACGTTTGGTTTACCCGTTTGATAAGCATGCTAGTTCGGTATTTAAATGCTAGCTTGTGTGTTGTTTGTACATTCCTATTGGTTGATGATAACTTGTGTTATTCATCGTTGTTGTTGTTGGGCTGTGACCCATTCCTTGATTGAGTATGGTTTCATATCTTCGTTGTGATCTGTTGATTGATTCCTGTTGTGGTGTGCTGCGTGTGTGGCTTTACCTGGATTGCACGATTAGTGGTATGGGACAGTAGTCACCAAGGTATTGCAGTGGTCCTCGTGGTGGCCATGACGTGATTATGGAGTTTGTGGCCTGAGTGATGGGTCCACGTATTTCTTGGGTGGCATGTGTTGCCGTGTGTGTGAACGGTACCCTCGTGTACTATGAAATTGGTGGTCTTGTTGGTAGTTTGTTGGTGGGGGACGACGGTCCTAGGAGGGGAAAAAGGTTGGACTAAGAAGTACAGGGGTCCTGGAGGTAATGGTTGGAAGAAGATACAAGGTTGGGGGTAGCCATAAGGTTGGAACCGGGCATGTAACACCCCCATTTTCCATTAACCAAAATAACTTATAGAAATGAATTTATTTTATTAAAACCAATTTTTAGTTGCGGAAGCTAAACAAAACAAAAGGAAAAAGGGATGCTACCGCCACGTTTAGATAACAACCTATATCCAAACGCACAGGCTAAAAACAATACTACTAAAAACAACCCATAATTTGTTCTATTACAACGCATTAAATACAATTTTCTAAGAATTCACTTCTAGATTTTTCTAAAATAATATAAAACTTCAAAGTTCTAAAAGATGATTCACTCTCATGCTCCAGATACTCGTGCCACATTACCTGCAAAATAACTAAAGGGGGAACAAATTCAGCATACAACAGCTGGTAAAACTTACTCCACCCTGTAAAACATTTTTCATATAACACGTAACACCTTGGAGCACATAATTCCACATTAACCCCTTACTCATATTATATTTGCAATATTCCTTCATACCACTTCTTCACATTTAATTACCAATTATCAATTCAACCACATAATAAATCTAATTTATAATTTCACTTAACATTTCATAATTTACCATAACATCAATTAATTTAACATAAAATACCATAACTTCCACGTTTGACCACTTTTCTCAATATTAGGATTTAATCCTTTATTTACCACCAAGTCAATGAGGAGGAGAAATACAAGGCAAGGACCATTACTTCGGCCCCAGTGACCAAAACCAACCAACCAGACACCAACCCAGTTGGCTCGAGATCAATCCCTTAAGTATGCATACCCCCATTGAGAGACCAACCCCAATAGGTAGAACGAACTCGATTGTGAGAGACCAACCCCACAAGGTATATAATAATATTCCAGAATCAAATGTGAGAGACCAACCCCACAAGATCCATAACCAAAAGTGAGAGACCAACCTCACAATAAAAAATCCAAGTACAAATCCTCCATGACCAAAGTTAATTAAATGTAAGTTTTTATACCAAATATTTCACAAGCAAGCAACTTCTCAATATCTCAAATAAGAAACTGACAAAATTTTTCAGAAACTATGACCTGAATTGCAGAATTTACTGAGAAAAATCGGTAACATATTTTCATATGAAATTCTCCAGATAAGTAGTACAAAGAGTCTAGACTACACACAAAAGGTTTCGAGCCAATCCAAGGCCTAGAAGTATTTTTCCCGAAATATTTCCCAACACTGCGCCAAACAGAAATTAAACTGGCAATACACTGCCTCAACTTTACGAAATTTTTCTGGAAAAACCGAAACATATTTTTAACCAAAACTTTTTATAAACATCAAATATAACAAGTCTAGGTTCTCCATAAAAATTTTCAAGCAAAAAGAAGTTTAGGAAACAATTTTCACGAATTTTTCTTTCCAGCTGTGCCAGTCAGAATTTTCTCAGGCAATAATCAGATTGAGTACAATTTTTCCTTTTTAATCACCACAAAATCACCATATCACATATGCAGGGATTTCAAAACATCTAAACTCATATATCTACTCGCATAATATGATCAAATAACTTACAATACTAAATATCACAAATTCATTAAAATCATGAATCACATAAACACATAGAAAAAGTGATTTTTCTTTGGGGTAAATACATTTTAAGTAGACATAAATCTTACCTCTAATGAAGCTCAATATCTACCACACTCCAACTGCTTTGATTAAAGAATCCTTGACTATTGATGAGAGACCAGATGATGAAGCTAGGGTTTTATTTTACTTTAGGAGAAAAGGAATGGCGATAGTGCAGAGGGGGAAAATATATAGAGTTGGGGTTATATTAGGATAACATATATATATATATATATATATATATATATATATATATATATATATATTTAAGAATAATGTATGTAATTTTTGTGGAATAATATAATAGGACTAGGAAAATATTAAATAATCATATATATATATATATATATATATATATATATATATATATATACACACTAGTACTGACGTGCGCATCTAACTTATATGTTGCTAGTCGGATTAAGAAGATTTTGAGGAAATAACTAATAACATACATATACATATGTTACTTAGAAAACCGCAAAGCACTTTACATAAATATCTACTATCTACTATATCTATCTACTATATATATATATATATATATATATATATATATATATATATATATACACTAATATAAGAGCCCAAGAGAGTTAGGGCTATAATGGGTAGAAAAAATGGCGGTCACATATTTTAATCAAATGTATGGCTCAGATTGATTAAAAGATTGATCAGATTTAAATTATACACTAAAATTTCTTAAAATACCTACACACCGTTACTAATTCCGTTAAAATTTTAAGAATTGCCGTTAGTTCACCGTTAACTTACTCATTGATTTCAATAAAAAAAAAGGTCTTAGATTCGAACCTCATCTCAATCAAAGTTGGCATAATTAGTACTCTATTTTACTCTTATTAAATTATATAAATAATAATTTAGTAGTTACAACGAAAAATAATACATATGCATTTCTTTAATTTAGAATTATGTGTCCACAATGTCTTTATTCAAAAAAAAAAAATATTCATTATCAATAAATTAAATAAGAGAAATAATTTTATTAGTTATATTGTCTTTATTTTTCTTCAATATAAAAATTCTTTATATTCAAATTTATTAATTGATTATATTCGCTACATTATCCTTACAATGTCTTTATTCAGTGAAAAAAAATTATTAATTATCAATAAATTAATTAAAATAAATATTTTCATTAGTTATATTGTCTTTATTTTTCTCAAATGTAAAAATTTTTACATTCAAATTCATCAATTGA